TATCATTTACCATAGGCTTCCATTAAAACTTTTTACTGCATCCTCAACGGGACGTTCCCTATAAGTGGTAAAAAATTTCATAAGGCACCAAAAGATAGGTAAAACCATAGTATATCCGTATACAAAATATCAGTTGTTTTTCTTTAACCACTCACCAGATATAATGTTGGTTCCAGACATTTTCAACACCCTGTATATATTTACTTATACTGTGACAGTCACCAAAAACAAAATATATTAGCTGCTATAAATTACATGATTTCACTTTAAGCTCAGCAGTCAAATTCTCCGTGGGAGCACATCAGGGACCAGGTTGCTGAGGATGTCCCCCAGCTCCGCCCCCAGATCTACAAGTGAACACGACGTTGACGTCTAGCTTGGACACGTAGCTGAGCTACCAGGGCTTGGACCCACAGCTGTCAAGAAGTATATGCTCCTAGCGAGCAGGAGCTTCGAGAGAAGTGGCGCAAGTCGCCACAGTCATCAGGACTTGGACTTGGACTTGGATGGTTGTATAAGAGAATTAATACAGTAATTAACAGAAACACGCTGTTATGACATTTGCTCAATCGTACTTTTTTAAGTACAGTAACAAGTATTTTTAATCAAAACTAGCACACTTTACCATTAGATTGTACAGTAATGTTCACTTGATAGTGGACAAAGTAGAAATTAGTGTATTTTTAATTTTCTATGGATGGATAAACATTTAGCCTTTATTCAGTTGTTACACATGAGGAAATATCAAACATTGCTTTGTAACCAGCATTCTCAGTGCATTAAATTTCTTTACGAGAAAGTTAAATCTTCCACCTCATCGTCTAACTCAACACCTTTTCTCCACTGTACCACCTCTTACTATTCAAACGCTTTCTGTTCCAACAAATCTTCAGTTTGCAATTTTCTTGGTACTCTTGGGGCGATTTTCTGAATGACTAAATTACAACAGCAACTCGCCGTGTAGAAAGTAGGACTGGTGATGTATACAATGTGAGAGGATTGCCTCGGGTTAGCGTCGTGCTGAACACTCCTACACTCTTAAACAAGTCTAACGGAATATGTTTACGTGTATTTCGTCTAGTGTACAGTATTTGGCTGTTGTTAGATAAAGCATTCCATTACCATGGTAAAAACCTTAGGTAATTTTGGAGTAAAATGTAGAATTGAGCCAAAGGCGAAGTGTGTTGTTGCAATATCTGATATCTGCCGAATGCACTAACACAGAAACCACAGAAATTATAAGTAAAAGTTACTGTAGGCTGCAGCATATTAATTACCACATCAGTTATCAGACAGTTATTACTACTGATGCAGTAGCTCACATTGAGAGAGTCAAATTCAACTATGTTTAGTGTCAAAATTAGCTTTAGTTGATTAAAATAAATGGGAAGTATACCCTGGTACCGGTATTCAAATCATTTTCCAATTTCACAATCACAGGATAGTTGTGTACCACGATAGCTTGAACAAACCATCTTGAACGACTTCACTCTCAACCTAACCCAAACCAACCCAACCCAGCCTAAATCAACCTAATCCAACCTGACCTAACTAACCTAACCAATCAAACCCAACCTTACCTAACCTAACTTAACCTTACCTAACCTAGCTTAACCTAACCAACCTAACCCAACCTTACCTAACCTAGCCAATATAAATCCGAGCAATCCTTTCCGAGTTCCACAGTTATGTTGATCTTCCCAAACAATTCATTTAAAGAAGAGCCTAAATCAGCCCAAATGTTATTTTTAATATGGATTAATAAGTTGATTTTAACAGGGAAGCATCTTATTAAGGTAAAATGTATATTATTGTACTTGAAATCTATTCAATACCTTTCATTGGTCTACCTCTAACCTATTGTGAAACTCGGGCAAAGCTAAAAGTTATTGATATATGTATCAGGAGGTCAATCTTGAATATCTCTGGGTAAATACTTGTTCAACGCAAACAAAAACTGAGGACCCAAGCCCCGTGCGGGCTGAACTCATCCTCTGTTATTTTGGGGGCGTGGGAACATCATGTAGCCTGTTATTATCTTAAATGTTGAAACGCCGCGAGCAGTCATTTGTAAGTATTTTCATAGGAAATAGAATACAAAAAACAATGTTTATTCTGTAAACGTAAAATTAATGTAGTAGTACAGAGAAAAATTCTAGAACTATTTCGTTCAGCGCAATATGTTTACTACAAACTAATACTGTTTGTTTTCAATTCCAAGTTATCACTTGTGAGAAATGTTACATACGTTAAGTTTGGTTAATTAGGTGGACCAAGAGTGTGGGTTAGGTAGGAAGTAGTATATTATATTTGAGTAGAGGTTCTAAGGATCAATATTTTAGATTTGTTAGGTTAGAATAAGTTGCCGAAAAGCTCTGCTACGTTTACACACTCCTTGATTGCCTGAAGACAATTTTAAGAAATGATTCTGTCCTGTGTATATTATTGTTTTGTTATTTTACCAAATACAAAACTATTTTAAACAAATACAACTTTGTAAATAATTCTAAAACTATTTACTATCATCAGTTCTATCCAAGTGTAAAGCAAACATCGTAAAATTTTTTCTACAGGAAGGGAATAGAAGAGCCTTTTTCGTTGAGGAAGGCTTATAGGTTCCCCTTCCATTATTTTTTTTTAGATTATTGTATAAGTCAGCTGATCAGCTGTCGGCTGTTGTTTCATAGGGTGGAATAGCTTTCCCTCAAAACAATTTTGTGAACGGAGTATTAGGATTAGAAGGCTACTTGCAGTATAGGAAATTCATTAGTCTGTGAAGATGTTTTAGATTAGGCTAGATAAGGTTAAGGTTATAATTTTCAGGTTTTATGGGCATGGGAAGAACAGATTACCGGTACCATAGAGTCGTTTAAGTTGAACGTTATGTGTGTAGGTGAAATTTAATTCATCATACCAGCGTCACTCTACATGAAATGCCTAACGACACAGTTCATGATGGTTAATGTCCGCTATACAAACAGCTCAATGCCACCGTGACATTGTACCAATACACTGCCAGTTGTATAACGGTACCGGTCTTTGTATCAGCGGCTATACACTATAGAAGGCTGTGGCGACCTATTTATTCAGCAACGGTATTGGCTAGTTGTCCAACTATGACTTGCTAATGCGGTTAACTGAATCTGTAGCTCGGTCGAAGAGTAATTGGATACTGTATTGGGAAACTTAATTTGTATGTAAGCTGTAAGACTATAGAGAAAGTTCATGTAAAATCAACTAGAAAACAATTGATATTACAAGTTCTACCACTTACAATAGTGAAATCAGGTGAGCTAAATACTTTATGTTGCCATGCTTTGTCGAGTAATCTTTTTTAGTACACTAATAGTAGTTTCAGGCTTCTGGAGGATTCCGTCATCAGGTGTAAATTTTTCCTCCAGAAGTCCGAAACTGTAGCACTAACTATCCGACGAGAGACTACACCATGAAATCAAGTATGCTTAATAAATTCGCAAAGCTAATGTTCCATAATGAGATTGAAAGAAAGTAGATTCAGTAAAATATTTCTTATTGTAAATTATTTACCGAAAACTTGATAAAATGAAATAGCTAGTACCAAATTAAATTAATATTTTACCAATTTCGTTGGTTTTGGAACATCTATCACATCTTTGAGGTGAGGTTTTTAATTAATACCTTTTCACGGTAAAACATTATTATCAAATTCAATACCTTATTTGTATTTCAAAAGTTGTATGATTCGATTTGAAATTTAAATACTAGTTAAGAGGAGCAAAGTTTGTAAAATCTCTGTTCTCTAAAATGTTTCAAATGTAAAATCAAATGTGCTCCAAGATACTATTATCATTAACGAAAATTCTTTTTTTAAGCTAAGCCTAGGGCCTACAGTACAGTAATACAGTATTAGTAGGTGATGAAGCTAGGCAATCTTTTACAGTTTGACGGCGCTTGGTAGGCAATTCACATACATTGTACATAGATTGCCTAGCTGCCCCTTATAAGCACAGCATGAATGACTAATTCCTTCCCCTTAAAGTTAATTATTTTTAGAGATTTCAAATTTTAAAATAATTTCCCATTTGGAAAGAGCTGGCGTTGTCGTCAAGTAAGATCCATACACATGTCCGATGTAACTTCTTAATAATAATTCATTTGACAAATCAGAAAGTGAATTAATTACTATACGTTAAGCCCACATCATTCTGTGTGTATGCTGTTAATGTTATTTTTGCTGATAATAAATATCAATATTAATTTAAAATATTTTTGCTATATAGAAACAGTGGGTCGTCAAATTAGACGACCCAGGACCACAGTACTTAATGTTTTGACAAATCATGATCGGGTGCAATCTTTTTCCTCGCCACAAAGAAAATTGCTTAAGAAATATCTGCTAGAAATGATATCAGCCGGTCAATAGAAGCAAGGCGCCACAGTCTGAAGAACGCTGACGCCATACATTGTTGTAAACACTAGCCAGGTTAACTTTGCTTCCACTCCATTTAGGTAATAGGGAATAAACTTGTCTTAGTTTGGTTATAATACAAAGTTAATGATAAAATCATAAAAATATTTATTCTAACTCCAAATTTCTTTTAGGTAGGTTAGTAATGAATTTCAGGTACAGTTGATTTTATTGCCATATGTTGAATAGGTGTTGAATATATAGTTGAATGACGAAACATAAAAAAATCATAAAATGATTTAGGTAGGTTTTATATTTTGATGCCATATTCATAAATGAGAAATATTGTTATAGAGAAGTTTTTAACCATAAAATTGGATACAAAGTTAAATGTTAACTTGTTGGCATGATAATGGTCTTAATATAATTTATAGATAAAATCATATTAACATTAATTAGAAATTCCAACGAACCGTATGATACGATAAAAGACTGGTCTTCGACAGTATACGAGCATAGATAGTGGTTCTACAAATAGCTTTCACCACAACACAATGACGACGCAACGGGTGGATTTCAACCCAAATGACCAAAGGGTGTAGAATATAGCAAGATGACTTTTGTAGCTTTGACTAACGCAGGCAAACAGGTTATCAGAATATCTTTCTTTGCAAACGCATTTCCCAAGGAAGTATCCATCGACAAGATGCTGGGTCAAACCAGCAATTTGATAAGCCTCGACATCCAAGAAAAAACAAGATTACTTCTTGAGGTTATCTTTCATTTAGGGACAGCAACTAGGTGCTTATTTTAAACTGAACATGTGAGAAGAGCGAGTGCAGACTCTTCATTATCCAATAATAAACTGTAGAATAAAGTGAGATTCCACGTGTAGCTTCATCTTATATGATAAAAAACTTTTGCAAAACTGATGACAGCTAGCCTGACCATACTACTGGACTGAATTACACGCGATTGGTACCAAATGAAAGAATTTCTATGTAGATGTGCAGAATCTCTTTATAAATTAAAATAGGATCAAATATAAGCATAAAAACTTATTTTTATTTTTTTTATTAACATGGGTTTAATTGGTTGCCATGTTGGTGACGAAATAACAACAAAATATAAACAGAAAATCAAAACAGATTAAAGAAATTCCAATCACAAGTTTTACAGTGTGGGGTTAAAATAGAGAAGTTTGCACAATAAACACTTTTGGTCGAGTTTTCGACCACGGGGCGTGCTCTCGTTACTAACTAAGATAAGTTTTTACCATTTATTAAATCCCAATGATCAATGACTGCAGACCCCTATTCTGATCCAAAAAAAATCATAATCCAACCACCACACAGATTAGAATTAATTAGCGTTTCAAAACGTAGATGTCTCTGGCACCCGAGCAAAAACACGAGTTCCGAAATGAATAACTCAGTAGGAAATAGATATGTCATTATACTCGCAGCGCAACGTAACGTTTCGACTCGGTTGCTACCGCCGACAGCAATGCAAGCCACCGGGGGGGGGGGGGGAGAGGTGCCATTTGAATATGAAAGTCCCGCGTACAGACGCTCCTCAGCCTCTCACCAGCGGCTGGTTCTGGTTCAGTTACAGTTAACCAGAACCACATAACTCTCACGCCGCATTCTCCATAAAGGATCTTCTCTGGTTGTTACAATGCTCCACTCCAAGCTTTCACCAATATGTGTTAATGGTGTGGTGTGTCAAGTTTTTTCTATTTCAAACGTTGACGATTCCTTTAAAAGTTACTGGAAATAAACAGTATCGTCCAACTGACGAATACGTTCTTCCGTAGCTTGTAATTGAAATTGACCATTCTACAATTAAATAATTAAATTCAATTAAATTCATAAGCAAACAATTAAACTGGGAAAAAAGCAAAGGTAATGATGAGTGTTATGGGTAAATTTTTTTAATTACAAAAAAAATTTACTGGAGTTTTTACAGGGTAGGGGAGTATTTGAAGTTAAAATAAATATTTTCAATGTTAATCAAAAATTGTCAAGGATTTTTTTTAATAACATTTTTCGTAATTTTATGAGGAAAATACCATTCACAATTTAAAATTAAATTTTTAACTTTTGGAGGAATCAAGGACTTGTAACAACATACCAAATTTGATAAAAATCGGATCACAGGAGTTACAGAAGCTACTAGTGTCTGTAGCTCTGTACACATACACACACAGATATTACTTCGGAAACCACTCCGGTTCAGGGGGAACCCGAAAAGAATTTTTTCACTCAAACTCAAAACTGGCAAAAATAATACTTTCACCATATCATCGGGAAGAGAGTAAATGGATGACGACGATGGTCAAAAGATAAATTGGAATTAAAACTGGATACAGTAATCTTACAGGGTACATGGTCTTCTGTACAGCAATCGTGAAAAAATCGTTGCAGTTATATGTACACAGCCTCCTGATACTGATCTTGCAGGCTTATTGTGAGAGGAATATATACATTAGAGTCTTCAGTCATCCGTGACTCCACTTCTTTGTCCTCGGTCCAGCAATGCCTCGGGTCGCCACACCATCACCAACCTCCGGGACTAACTGGAAGTGATAAACCCAGCGAACGGTGAAGCTCTGAATGGCATCGCTACAGGCTATAGGTAACAAAGAGATGTTTTCAAGCCATAAACTGTTTGCTGGACTGTGTTTATTTTTAGTGACTGGAAAATGGAAGGAAGTTATCAACCCTGATTGGTTAGAATCTGTCGTATAGAATCGATCAACGATTCACTTTATAGTACATGAAACATATGCAGATTGAAAATAAGCACTTAATCGTTCCTATACTAGTGTTACCTGACAAAGTGGGCTTCCTTGCACTCTTATTATGGCACTCAAAGTTGCTAATTGCTGCATTTACTTACTTTTGCCGCACTCATTTTTGTTGCCGCACTCCAGTAGGTATTGCAACCAAACAACACAAAAACAGTGCTTTTATTAGGCACTAATACGTGTACGCTTGAAAATAAGTTGGCAAAAATTAAAGATACTACGACTACGATCAGCTGGTGCAGCGTTTCCCATGTTCAACGCTTGGATTTAACCTAACCTAAAAACGTGTCGTAGAGTGTTTGAAAGAGAAGGACAAATTATTTTAATGTGTTATGGTAACTGTAGGAAAAATATAATGCTAAACGCGAGTGAACTTCGCACACTAGTTTTACAAATAACTATTCTCTATGAATCTGTAACCATTATACTATTGAACTTTGGTAATTAATCATCTAGCAAATGTTGGATAATTAGTACGTATCTTACTTCAACTCTAATTAGAAGCTAAACAACTTTTACTGCGCGATTACTCACAACTAGGAATGCTAATTGGTAAGAAGCCTCGACCTTAGTTGGCGAGAAAGAAAATGTAAGTTATGAAAGTGAAAAACAAGAGTTACAGCACCAAGTACAAGCGCCGCGGCGGTTATTTAAACAGAAAGATTCATGGTTGCATGCAAATTGGCTCTGAACTCGATTTAATTTCTGAGTTACACTTGTTTGCTTCACACTCTCTGATTGGAGTTATAGCAGAAGAGAATTTACTCGGTTCTTACCAGCTTGGTTGGTTCATCATTTTTTTTTACTAAGTTCTTTTCTAATTACAGTTATAGCATGAATAAGCTGACTTTGTCCATAACGGCTTGATTAATACATCTTTTCCCATAGTTGTTTTGTGACGAAGTTGTTTCAAAATCTGTGACATGGCTTCAAGTTGTTTATAATAACCTTTATTGCATAATCATTAATTTATAGCTAGGTTGATTGGAGTTTGCGTAGTTATTTACCAGTTTAAAAAGCAAGTACCAATACAATACAATTACAAGTACTTGACAAAAGATATTTTAAAATTTGTTCCAGTTAAAGAATTAACCAGTATATAGTCGTGGTTTTTATTGAGGAAGAGTTTGCACAGTTGACAGTTCACTCAAAATCCGCAAAAAATACTTCTGGCTTGGAAAACGACAAAATAAAAATCAAGACAATACAGGTTTTAAATATCTCCGTCAAATAGTCCAACGATTAATATTGTTCATCAGCTTACATGTTTCGCTGAGAAGACAACATTTTCAAAGCTTGCAACTCGTCAAAACACCATAACAACAGGAAAGACACGAACAAAAAACATAAAAATTTTACAAATACACACACATTTAGATAGCGCTTCCATAGCAATATGGTCCAGGATCAGAAACATGAATTTTGATAAAAAAAGAAACTTGTAAAAATCATTTCACAATCTTACGTAAACTATTTTAATAAACCACGTTAGACAATTTGTGGGTAGCCTTTCCAAATTAATTAGGGAGGGGTATATAAATAATCAAATATAACATTCTGTAGATAACAAGGGATTTAACTCTTTGGGAAAACCCAGGAGTAACCTTTACCTGTGGAAGAATGAAGGTCTGCAGCTAGAGTTAATCAAAACCTCACCTTGAGAGGCCAGTCAATGCCTTTCCCTTCGCCTACATTGAGGCTGGAGTCAGTACAACTCTGTAGGGACAGGCTTAGCGTATGTATAAAGTGTACAAACATGTTTATTTACTGTCTGAATATCCAAACGATTCTTGGATGATTTATTGGGAAATATTCGCAGTCTAAACGGTTGATTGAGGAGCTAAACTATTCATCTTCGGAGAAGGCTGTGATCCAACTTATTATTTTGTAAGCAGACAATGGAAACGCTACAGTGGTAATGGACACTACAAACTAAAAGGACAAAATGGACAGCTTGTTAAGAAAAGTGTGTACAAATATATTTGGAATCCGTCAAAGACGTCACCTGTGTCCTACAGTATTTATACCAACAAGCGGATATTTTCCCGAAGAAAAATATTCGGGTGTCTACTTTGACCATGGAAACCTACCTAGTTTGAATATATACCTGTGTAAAATAAGACTATGAGTTGCTATTTGGTGTATATCTACACATTAGGCATTTTTAACGTTTTACGTAAAGGAAACTGTCCACGTCCAGGCCCTGGTCTTGTTACTACTTTTCGTTAACATTATATGACGTCATTAATTGATAGTCCAAAATATAATATATAAAATATATACAATATATATACAATATATATACAATATATATAAAAGGTATCTGAGTATGGGAGCAATCGTGTGTATGTTTGGGTGGCTAGCGCAAAGAGGACTTTTATTTTATTTTACAAAATAGTACTTCCGTTTCACCCGCATGGCCGCATCTAGCACACATCACTTAACTTCATAGTTTATAGTCTTATCATGTGCGCCTCAAACATAGAGAGAGAGGGCAAACAAACCACGTGACATGAAGGTAAGTACCTCGTCCAAGCACGGTGTTTGAATGTAAATTTACACAAGATCTCCTACTACCTTCAACGTGGCCAATAACCGTCAGGTTTGTTTTGAAATTCGGAAGACTCTTAGGAAAGATACATTACAATAATACACGTTTTATACGTCTCAAGAGATTTTTTACTTTTGACTCGTACAGAAAACATAACTATAAACTTGTAATAATGATTGAAACTTTTTTAAACTAAGTTCTACAACAACTGGGCTTCGAATGATGTATTGAAGTGAAAAGCCCACTTGGTTACATTGGGACATTGGGTTCAAATCCACACTACATCCACTGCTGAAAGACGTTTCGGATACGAGGACCTTTTCATTTCAATCCTCTTTTTATAAAGTCTATAACCACGTTTTGTATACATTTTTTGATATTGATATACCATGGCTAACTGTATCCAACAGTCAATATAAGACGCCATGAACGCCATGTTGATGATGTAATTACACTCATCGTTAAAACAACCATGGCATAACACCGAGGACATAACATTTATCCAGAAGACCGTATCGAAAAATAAGTTACTCTTACCACTCCAAGCTGTAGTGAGTCTCCTAGTGATCCTCCTAGTGATTCTCCTAGTGATTCTCCTAGTGATTCCCTTAGTGATTCCCCTAGTGATTCTCCTAGATTCTCCTAATGATTCTCCTAGTGATCCTCATAGTGATCCTCATAGTGATCCTCCTAGTGATTCTCCTAGTGATTCTCCTAGTGAGTCTCCTAGTGATCCTCATAGTGATTCTCCTAGTGATTCTCCTAGTGATCCTCATAGTGATCCTCATAGTGATTCTCCTAGTGATTCTCCTAGTGATTCTCCTAGTGATCCTCCTAGTGATTTTCCTAGTGATTCCTCTCCTAGTGATTCTCCTAGTGATTCACTTAGTTATTCTCCTAGATTCTCCTAGTGATCCTCCTAGTGATTCTCCTAGTGATTCTCCTAGTGGTCTTCCTAGTGATTCTCCTAGTGATCCTCATAGTGATTTTCCTAGTGATTCTCCTAGATTCTTCTAGTGATTCTCCTAGTGATTCCTCCCCTAATGAGTCCCTTAGTGAGTCCCTTAGTGATCCTCCTAGTGATTCTCCTAGTGATTCTCATAGTGGTCTTCCTAGTGATTCTCCTAGATTCTCCTAGTGATTCTCCTAGTGATCCTCATAGTGATTCTCCTAGTGATTCCTCCCCTAGTGAGTCCCTTAGTGAGTCCCTTAGTGATTCTCCTAGTGATCCTCCTAGTGATCCTCCTAGTGATTCTCCTAGTGATCCTCCTATTGATCCTCCTAGTGATCCTCCTAGTGATTCTCCTAGTGATTCTCCTAGTGGTCTTCCTAGTGATTCTCCTAGTGATCCTCATAGTGATTTTCCTAGTGATTCTCCTAGATTCTCCTAGTGATTCTCCTAGTGATTCCTCCCCTAGTGAGTCCCTTAGTGAGTCCCTTAGTGATCCTCCTAGTGATTCTCATAGTGATCCTCATAGTGATTCTCCTAGTGATCCTCCTAGTGATTCTCCTAGTGATCCTCCTAGTGATTCTCTTAGTGATCCTCATAGTGATTTTCCTAGTGATTCTCCTAGATTCTCCTAGTGATTCCTCCCCTAGTGAGTCCCTTAGTGATCCTCCTAGTGATCCTCCTAGTGATTCTCATAGTGATCCTCATAGTGATTCTCCTAGTGATCCTCCTAGTGATTCTCCTAGCGATCCTCCTAGTGATCCTCCTAGTGATCCTCCTAGTGATCCTCCTAGTGATCCTCCTAGTGATCCTCCTAGTGATCCTCCTAGTGATCCTCCTAGTGATCCTCCTAGTGATCCTCCTAGATTCTCCTAGTGATTGTCCTAGTGATTGTCCTAGTGGTCTTCCTAGTGATTCTCCTAGTGATCCTCATAGTGATTTTCCTAGTGATTCTCCTAGATTCTCCTAGTGATTCTCCTAGTGATCCTCATAGTGATTCTCCTAGTGATTCCTCTCCTAGTGATCCTCATAGTGATTCTCCTAGTGATTCCTCCCCTAGTGAGTCCGATTCTCCTAGTGATTCTCATAGTGATTCTCCTAGTGATTCTCCTAGTGATTCTCCTAGTGATTCTTCTAGATTCTCCTAGTGATTCTCCTAGTGATCCTCATAGTGATTCTCCTAGTGATTCCCAATTGTCGGTTGATGAACGCCGGTTTGCCGTGTCGAGGCATCAGCGCGTAAACTGTGGTTACACGCTCAATGGATATTGATTGAATTTCCGTCCATCTGCATTCCGACAATTGAGCTTCTGACACTGAACTTCTAAACTGAGCTTGGACATTGAGCTTCTAAATTGAGCTCTGACACTGAGCTTCTAAACTGAGCTTGGACACTGAGCTTCTAAACTGAACTCTGACACTGAGCTTCTAAACTGAACTCTGACACTGAGCTTCTAAACTGACCTCTGACACTGAGCTTCTAAACTCAGCTCTGACACTGAGCTTCTAAACTGAGCTTGGACACTGAGCTTCTAAACTGAACTCTGACACTGAGCTTCTAAACTGAACTCTGACACTGAGCTTCTAAACTGAACTCTGACACTGAGCTTCTAAACTCAGCTCTGACACTGAGCTTCTAAACTGAGCTTGGACACTGAGCTTCTAAACTGAACTCTGACACTGAGCTTCTAAACTGAACTCTGACACTGAGCTTCTAAACTGAACTCTGACACTGAGCTTCTAAACTGAACTCTGACACTGAGCTTCTAAACTGAACTCTGACACTGAGCTTCTAAACTCAGCTCTGACACTGAGCTTCTAAACTGAACTGAGCTTTGACACTAGGAGTCTGACAATTAAGCTTCCGACAACTGAGTTTCTAAACTGAGCCTCTTACCCCAACAACAATACGAGTGAACTAATTAACGTAAGAAAACCTTAAGCTCTAGTTCTGAAGTTTTGACAACTGAGCTTTTGACAAGTTTCAACACTAAGTTCTGTCACTAATGGATATGTAAACAGGGCAGGTAAACGATGAGCAAAAATCAAGCAGTGCTGCCAGCATAAAATAACACGCATGTTTTGCTCATACTATTTACTAAAGCATAGTAATGAGAAGACCTATATATTTTAATTTTCAAAAGAAGTGCGTATTAGGATTCGTGGCAGGTCATATGCCTGCGTAAAGTAATCCTTGGTTGCTGAATTCGCACCAAAAGCTTAAGATTAACAACCTGCTCATACCTGTATTGTGCTACGTTTACATTCTTAAACCAGACTGACATAAGATACCTCGTAACTGGCCCAATAGATATTCATTTAGATCAAGTTCTTCGTATCTACAGCCAACCATAAAAGTAAAGGACTCGACCACATACCTAGGTAATCGCGGTCCTCTTAACGTAACATAAACGAAACAGTGACCCTGTTATTGGAAACCATCCAGCAACCTGTCTGCAACCTGAATCAAACATCCTTGGAACTCAAGGATTCCGTCTTCGCCGACCATCTGTTCCGGCAGCCTCCTCCTCCTGATCGATTCGTCTCAGACTGTACCAATAACTCCACAGAGTGTGACGAGAAATATTCGCTGTTCCACTAAGACGAGGTGTGTGAAGGTTGTCACATAGCTTTGTGGTGAAATGGTCAATTTGAAAACCAGATTATTACGGTCCTACGGAATATAGTTTGAACCATAAACATGGTTTGAACTAAGATTATTTCATTCGTGACGCTTAAGAAATTGTTGAGTTTTATATTTTGTATTGCCCAAATTCTTCCGTATCACAACAAATTTTGTTTTTGTGAAGGAGCTGAAAAAGTTACGTGAATTGGAACTTTTGAGATATAAAGTTAATACTTAGTACTTAATACTTTTCGATGAAATGGCGACCATACAAAGTAGGTATTTTAAGCCAAGTATGACAGGAGATGAGTGTAGGATGAGTGGCGCGGTCTTGTAGTCTTGTTAGTGACTAAGGCCGACATATTCCTTAGACACAGCTGTTAATTAATAGCCCATACAGCTAATGGCAACTAAGGGACCTACATTTTATAGTGGAATCCGAACCACATTTTTGCCTTGGTATGTACGAATTGGTCTAAATATCAGGATAGTACTGCGGATGTACATAGATGTTGGTATATAGTAGCCTATTCTCAAGTTAAGAAGTTGTAATTCTTATTTGTATAGATTTGCAGCTTAAGATCCTCTGGAATACCAGTGTAGGCGGTGAGTTTAGTGTGGAAGCTTAAATTAAATGTGGTTTAACTTTTAGGCATTTCTTCTAAACTATTAAAATTTCATCGGCACCTCTTACTGATTTAACTTGTATTCCCCAAATTTCTTCCGACAAACATTATATGTGATTATATTGTATACAGATAAATATTCATGAATTAAATTGTCTCGACAGTTTAGCAAAAATACTTCAGTAAAACAAATCTCTTGATTCATGAATAAGAAAAATAATTTGATAGACCAGTTTTTTAACTACAAATTATCGTATAAATTTAGCGGAGAAAAGTCTCCACACAGTTCCCTTCGCCAATCATGTCCTTTTAGTTTTATAACACGAAATTATCAAATCACTAAAAAATCTGGTGGTTAGTGAAATTTGATCCGGGTCCCAAGATCTAAACACTAGACAAACCAATCTTTCAAACAAGACATTCAAATCACAACACATTAGCAACAGAAACTACGAAAAAATTTAACTGCTGCCATTACATTCCGGATAGTCAAAAGATTACACTGCTTTAATAAGCGCGAACTATACGAGCGTACTGACAACGGTTCCGGCTCTAAAACAAACGCTGTTCCAATATTGTGACCTTTTACATAAGGAACCGGTTCTTCTGCTCGTTATCCACCATCTATCATAACTAACTCGCTAACGATGGCCCACTGCGGACCGCGGTACAATCGGAGGCATCAATATCGCCGTGAAATGTGCAATTGGGCGGACATATTTGTATTTTCGATCGCAGTAACATCACTCTTGGGGAACGCGAGCAGATCACGACTGTGTGTTGAATGCAGAATCAATGTTTCCTTGTACAACGAATGGTTCTAGGATCCTGGCATTACTCTAAGGCATAACTCAGAGATGCACTGATCCAAACACGTTTTCGGTGCAGTGCCTTTCAAAACAACCTCAGCTACGCAATCTCTTCACCTTTCGGAACTGTGCCTGGTCATACACACTCCTTCGACATTATCGGATCAATGCCACGTATCGATGGTTCAAAATTGTCAACAAGTTTTCGGTGCAGTGCCTTTCAGAACAGAGCCTCAGCTACGCATTCTTTTCGGAACAGAACCTTTTGGAACTGTGCCTGGTCACACACACTCCTTCGACATTATCGGATCAATGCCACGTATCGATGGTTTAAAATTGTCAAACTTGTGACTGTTGTTGAAAATGGTTCTTGCTTAGGAATTCTGGTAATCATGTAAAAATATACACAAAGCTTCTTATTCTATTCGATAGTCCGCTTTGCGTAAAAGTAGACTTTCAATACTTTCGTAAATGTTTAATTTGACTAAATTAAAAGTTGTTAACGTTTAGAGTGCGCTAATGTCAAATTAATATTTCTACTTAATTATACTCTTCGTAATTCTGCTTTCGTTACTTTCCAGCAATAGACTGGTTTGGATTAAAATCTTGTAATGTTTTGGGTACTTCTTTACCCGAGGAAGAATCAAATTCCATAGCTCCATACAAAATGTTCGCAATGATTATTCTAGCCATGACCAACAATTAAAGTTCAGGAGAGTAATTCCTATCACACAAAGCTAAAGAGTGAAATAATTGAAAAATGCAATCTAACAACCAACTCCTGAGTAATTGCAAAGTACAGCTCTACTCGCGATATCCACACGGACATTATCTTCCTGTAGATCTCAATTATAAGCTCCTCATGAAGCCTCTGTCACGGCTGAGGTAGTCGTGACAGACGGTGAAGACAGCAGCCCAGCGGGGGGCAATATCAAGGGGGGCTATATTGTGGGGGGGGGGGCAATCATCTTAATTATTTCTCACAGACTTCTGTGGTCCATCCCCGCAATCATCTAAATACGAGACGGCGTCCAAATTGTTCCGCGAGGATAGTCGTGTCTTACGGTTATTTAGGTCTCTTTCTTCCCGCGGTAATAACTCTGCAATTATTTGTTAGTTGCAAAGGTATGTTTAGCTCGGCGAGAGGTTGGACTGTTTGTTGTGTTCTTCGGCTGTAGTGGTAGTAGGTATTTTCATGAAATGTTGATTAGAGCGCTCTAGTAGTCTAGAGGTACATCGGAATTTTGAGAAATTTATACTTGTAATATTAAAATTACTAACTTGTGGTGTTCAGGAACGGAAGAAAACTACTATGAGACGTTTTGACTTCCGTATGTGTGGATCTTTTATAAAGGCGTCCAACCTTTGAAAACTCTGCAATTCGTTAAACTTTCTTCCTGAAAATATCTTGATGACTGAGTTAAATATAGTTTGCAGGATCATGACGTGCTGCTAGTGCCTGATATACAACAAAGTTCTTGTTTTACAGCAGCCGAGGCTATCCTTCCGGGAGAAGGTATCTCGACGCAGAACCCACCATGGAACCTTCCTTTTTCACTTTCCCAGAGTGAGGCTGAAGTTGAGAGAAGAAGGTTCTCGTACTTTGAACCAAAGTTGTATGACGACCTCCCTTCCAGCCTCGAAAATCTATTTTTTGTCCTCAGGGAAACCATGAATGAACTCCACCCTCCAACAGGGTTATTGTTGGAATATTAGGTTAATTATGTAGTTAGGTTATTGGTAGGCTGTTGTTTGGTTTGTTTACTTGAACCGTATTGAGTTTATATTTTGTACATGTGGTTCCCTTGCTATTCAAATTGCTTGTTATTTTTAAGACAAAAGTTTTTTTCCTGGAAAACGAGAAACGTTTGATTATTTGCTAGTTGCTAGCATGGGTCACATTCTCATATTCACATACAATACAATATTGACATATTCTCCTAGTAATATGTGTTCCTCAGAGGGTAATTTTACATTCTATTGTCCATGTTTGCTGCCTTGACTATTCTCGTCCAACGCATTTGGAAATCTTGGATTTATTGGAAGACGCAAGTTGTGAACAAGCATAACTGTCTGAAGAGATTTAG